GGGGATAAAAAAAAAAAAAAAAAAAGGGAAAAGAAATTGCCAAAGTCAACCGATTCCAGGCCAACCTTCTTCACAGCCTCCAAAACAGATCTCATCTATCTGGTTCCCAGATCTAACAGCATCTGGCACACAGGATATATTTAGTAAATATGAGTAAGTGAATCGTCTGAGACCTTAGGCAGGGTTCTGGGTTATTATCTTCTTCATCTCTTTCCTCTTCTATGAAAGAATCTAAGGTTTATAGTGTTGATGGGATAAATTAGGATCCCATACTCCCCGAATCTGATTGTAATTTACTAAAGGCAAGAATAATGTAATATTTCTCTATCTCGATTTTAGAGGCTGGGCATGGTGGCTCACGTCTGTAATCCCAGCACCTTGGGAGGCTGAGGGAAGAGGATTGCTTGAGCTCAGGAGTTCAAGATCAGCCTGGGCAACAAGGTGAAACGCCATCTCTACAAAAAATACAAAAATTAGCCAGGCTTGGAGGCATGTGTGTGTAGTCCCAGGTATGTGGGGGGCTGAGGTGAGAGGACAGCTTGAGCCTAGGAGGCAAAGGTACTTTTGCATCAAGTACTCTTCAAAAACATTACAAATAGTAACTCACCTAATCATGATGAGAACTCTGTGAAATAGGTACTATTTTTATCCCTGTTTTACAGATGAGAGATCAGAAGCACAGAGAGCTTATGTAACTTGCCCAAAGTCGCACAGCTAAATGGTGGAGCTGGGATTTAGCTCATACAGACTGAATCCAGAGATAGAACTCCACGCACTATGTCTTACTATACTGCTTTGCCTCACCATTGGTTGAATGCTTGAGGAAAGAAGAAATGTGGAATCTATGTCAAGAGAAAACTGAAAAGAGAGCAATATTTACAGAAAGAAAGCCAAGGGCTGGGCACAGTGGCTCACATCTGTAATCCTAGCACTTGGCGGGGTCAAGGTGGGAGCACTGCTTGAGCCCAAAAGGTCAGGGCTCCAGTGAGCCATGATGGTGCCACCGCACTCCAGCTTGGACAACAGAATAAGACCTTGTCTCGAAAAACAAAAACAAAACAACAAAAATAAAGAAAGAAAGAAATCCAAATGAAGAGTATATTTCTAGATACTCCATGCATAGTTAATGTAGTACGAATGTTGCCACTGCATGAAATGTAGTGACAAAAACCTAGGTTGATTTGGATACCTAATTTAAAAGGATTTTGCTCCTTTGCTAAAATAAATAAATAATAAATAAATAAAACAATCAAATTGTGAGGCTGGGCACAGTGGCTCCTGCCTGTAATCCCAGCACTTTGGGAGGCTGAGGCAGACAGATCACTTGAGGTCAGGAGTTCAAGACCAGCCTGGCCAACATGGTGAAACCCCATCTCTACAAAAAACACAAAACCTAGCCACGTGTGGTGGTGTACACCTGTAGTTCCAGGTACTCCGGAGGCTGATGCACGAGAATTATTTGAACCTGGGAGACTCAGGTTGCAGCGAGCCAAGATCATGTCACTGGACTCCAGTCTGGGTGACAGAGGCAGACTCCATCTCAATAAAAAAAAAAAAAAAATTGAATTGTGAATCACTTTAAGCAATCAAAAACAACCCCAACTTAATATACATACTGTACTCAGTAGGAAATTATACAAACTTACAACTGGTTTGAAGTTTACAGTTCAGTTATTCTGCTAAGCAGTTGTACTAGTTTCCTAGGGCTACTGTAACAGTCTCACAAGCTGGGTGGCTTAAATAACAGAAATTGAGGCCGGGCGTGGTGGCTCATGCCTGTAATCCCAGCACTTGGGAAGGCCAAGGTAGGGGATCACTTGAGGTCAGGAGTTTGAGACCAGCCTGGCCAATGTGGTGAAACCCTATCTCTACAAAGAAAAAAAAAGAAAAAAAAAATTAGCTGGGCGTGGTGGCACACACCTGTAGTCCCAGTTACTTGGGAGGCTGAGGTGGGAGAATCACCTAAACCTGGGAGGTGGAGGTTGCAGTGAGTGGAGATTGTACCACCATAATCCAGCCTGGGTGACGCAGTGAGACCCTGTCTCTAAATAAATAAACAAAACAGAAATATATTATCTCACAGCTTTGGAGGCTGGAAGTCCAAGATCAAGGTCTCAGCAGGATTGGTTCCTTGTGAGGGCTGTGAGGGAAGGATCTGTTCCAGGACTTTCTTCTTGGCTTGTAGATGGTCATCTTCTCCTTATGTCTCTTCATAGTCTTCCCTTTATATGTATCTGTCTCTGTCCAAATTTCCCTTTTTTTTTCTTTTTTTTAATTTGAGATGGAGTCTCGCTCTGTCACCCAGGCCGGAGTACATTGGCGCGATCTTGGCTCACTGCAAGCTCTGCGTCCCGGGTTCACACCATTCTCCTGTTTCAGCCTCCCGAGTAGCTGGGACTACAGGTGCCCGCCACCACACCCAGCTAAATTTTCATATTTTTAGTAGGGACAGGGTTTCACTGTGTTAGCAAGGATGGTCTCCATCTCCTGACCTCGTAATCCACCCACCTTGGCCTCTCAAAGTGCTGGGATTACAGGTGTGAGCCACCACGCTGGGCCAAATTTCCTGTTTTAAAAGGACAACAGTCACACTGGATTGAGGTCCACCCTAATGAGTTCATTTGAATTTGACTACCTCTTTGAAGACCCTATCTTCAAATAAGATCACACTCTGAGGTACTGTAGGTTAGGATTCCAACATGTCTTCTTTAGGGAGGTGGAATACAATTCAACCCATAATAGCAATATAATATAGGGGTAAGAGCCTGATTCTGAATCCTAGCTCTGCCACTTATTGTGATATGAGACCTCACTAGATCTCTTTTTTTTTTTTTCCTTAAATGAGGATGAAACAGGTAGCATCTTCCTCATGCAGTTGTGAGGATTAAATGAACTAGTCCACGTAACGCTTGGAATACCAGGTGGTACAACACACGTTAGGTTCATTGATTCATTCATTAATTCAACAAATAGTTATTGAACACCTACTAAGTGCCAGGCACTGTTCAATGTGCTTGAAATATTGAAGCAAATAAAATAAGCAAAAATGTCTACCCTCATGAAGCTCATAATCTAGTGAGGAAAGAAAGATAATTTAAAAATTAGAACATGGCCTGGCATGGTGGTGGCTCATGCCTGTAATCCCAGAACTTTGGGAGGCTAAGGTGGGCAGATCACTTGAGGTCAGAAGTTCAAGACTGGCCTGGGTAACATGGTGAAACCCAATCTATACTAAAAGTACAAAAAATTAGCCGGACATGGTGGCACATGGCTATGGTCCCAGCTACTTGGGAGGCTGAGGTGGGAGGATGGCTTGAGCACAGCAGGAGGTCGAGGCTGTGGTGAGCTGTGACCACGCCTCTGCACTCCAGCCTGGGTGACAGAGTGAGACAGTCTCAAAAAAATGTAGAACATAATGTCAGACAGTAATAAATTCTACGGAGAAAAATCAAGCAAGACAGGGGCTAGAGACCACTGGGGGTTGCAATTTGAGATTAGGGGTACCATTTGAGCAAATACCTGAATAATGGAAGGGGACAGTCAAATGGCTAACTGGGGAAAGATACTTTCAGATAGAGGAGGGTTTCTGGACTGTCACATTATTGACATTTGGGGCTGGATAATTCTTTGTTGTGGGGGCTGTCCTGTGCGTTGCAGTATGTTTAGCAACACCCCTAGTCTCTACCCACTAGATGCTAGTTGCACTTGCCACCTCCTGGCCTCCTTGTGTGACAATCAGTTTCACAACCAAAGTATCTCTAGACATTGCTATTCCTTCTCCCAGGAGGAGGAAGGGGAGAGGAAGTGCTCCTGCTTGAGAACCACTGAAACAGAAGAAAAGTGAACTAACGCCCAGAGGCAGGAATGGGCTTACCTTGTCTGAGGCACAGCAAGGAGGCAATCAGTAAGGGAAGACATCAGAAAGGGGAGGGATGAACCATGTCACCTGTGACCTTGATGCCATTCTTCAGGCAGATAGGAAGCTGCTGGAGGGTTGAGAACAAAAAAGCACAACTTGACACACATTTTAAAACAGATTCTACTGGCTGCCACATTGAGAATTAACTGTAGGTGAAAAGACAGAAATAGACAGCCAGGTTGTTTCATTTGTTCACTGATTTGGCTGGGTGGTGGTAGGAGCAGCTAAGAAAGCTGAGCTAAGAAGCGCTGAGGAAGAAAAGAGGAAGCAGAATTAGCATTAAAGGAAAAAGCTAGGAGTGGGCAAGGTAACTTTTTGCAGAAGTGGAAGGCAGTAGGGTAATTAAGTAGATTTGAAAGCACAGAGGGGTTGTGTAGGACCAAGACAGAATGTTGGGGGCCAGTTGTGGGCAGGGCATTGAATGCTATGCTAAGGAATGGGAGCTCTAGTCTGTTAGTATAATAATACGGAGCTTCTGACAAAAATTTTGCAGCAGTGTGCAGAATAGGAGTAAGCAAGAGTAATTTTAGGAGTATCTGGAAGTCATATGGGTGAGATAACAGGAGCTTAGGTTTAGGTGGAGGAAGAGCATGGGCAACTCATTCTGAAGGAAGCAAAAATGAGGCCCTGCCCTAAGACTTGGACCTTAGAATCTCCGTCTTCTTCAGAGTATTTTGAGTGTAGGAAGTGCAGAGACTATATTGGCTCCACAGAGAGAATCTGGACACTTGCCACGGTAACAGACAACAAGCCAACGCGAGCCCACCATGAAGAGATTTAGTGCAGTGCTTTCTTGGAAAAGGTGTACCCCAGGGACGATGTGTTGGATTTCTTCAAGGGTCTTTACAAGGCAACGATTGTCTGTAGGTGAGAAAAACTGACAAGCTAAGGCAAAGAGGGTGAAAGCAGGCCTGCATCCAAAGAGTTCTTTCAGGATGCTCAAACATTTCAATTTTTTAGGTCAAAAATGCCTTAGCAGGTTTAGCACAGCAATGTAGGTGCCAAACTCGTCTCACTAAATCGCAGGCGGGAGCAACAAGGACGCCTGCCTCCTTTCCGCCTGCATTTCGCAGCAGTCCGATTTGAGAAGGGGACCCACAAGAGACACAAAATGCACGCCCCCACGCCACATCCTTTTTACCCCGCAATGGGTTGTCAACAGCCAGGCCACCTCGCGGCGCCCGCGGAGGTGCACGCTCACCCCCGCCAGGGTGTGGCGCTGTTCCCCGGGAGCGGGGCAGGGGAGGAGGGGCGCGCGGCGGCCGGGCGGGGCGAGCGGAGGCGAGTGGAGGACGCGTAGACGCGCCGCGGTCCCCGCCTGCCACTGCCCCGCCGCAGTCCCCGCTCCAGTCTACCCGGCACTAGGAACAGCCCCGGGCAGCGCGACGGTCCCCGCCATGTCTGCGGCCATGAGGGAGAGGTTCGACCGGTTCCTGCACGAGAAGAACTGCATGACTGACCTTCTGGCCAAGCTCGAGGCCAAGACCGGCGTGAACCGGAGCTTCATTGCGCTTGGTGGGTGGCCGGGGGTCGCCGTTGCCCCTGCTGCTGGGGAAGGAAGCGGGGAGAGGACTCGGGAAAGGTGGAGTTGGAGACAGACGGGACAAGCAGCATCCTCGGGAATCAGGCTGGCCTCCCGGGAAGCGCGGACATCGGAGGACCCCGCTGGGGCTGCCCGGGCTGAGGGTCGCGGGGCTGGAGGGCAGCGGCGGCGTCGGGCGCTGGCAGCTGGAAGGGCCAGCGCTGACGTGTCCGCCCCGCGGCCCGGCGCCCTATTCTTGCGGTCCTACGCGGTGGGCGCGGACCGCGGGGTCCCTGCGGGCAGGCGCGGTGACGGAGGTACCCGGTCCTACCCGACCCTCCGTGGAGCTCCGCCCGGGAAGGGGCGCCCCCTCGGGTGGGCGGGGGCTGCTGCTGCAGCGGTTGCGGGAGTCCGGGCCTCTCGGGACGCTCCCCGCGGAGCGCAGCTTCCCTGGCTAGAGCCCTGCCCGGCGGGCCCTGCAAGAGAGCGGACTTGGGTGCTCCGGACCGTCCCGGCCGCCGGGGTTGCTTTGGGGCCCCCTGCGAGAGGTAGGAGAGGCACAACGGTGGGGGCTGCCTGGTATCCCCAGACTTCAAGGCAGGGCCCCGCGGACGCGTAGGCCCAGCTTTCGTGTGGTTTGTTTTTCTCTCTCCTTTAATCGAGTCGGGAGGAAAACGCCTAGAACAGGCCCAGCCTCGCGGTGTGGGCGGCGGCTGTCCCGCGTGAACGCTTCTCATGCTGCCCGACTCACTTCTCTCCTTGTGGTCCCCAGGTGTCATCGGACTGGTGGCCTTGTACCTGGTGTTCGGTTATGGAGCCTCTCTCCTCTGCAACCTGATAGGATTTGGCTACCCAGCTTACATCTCGTAAGTGACACACCCTGCAGCCGTCCCCTTCCCTTCCTCCCTTTCCCCCCCCAGGGCTGCTGCAGTGGACTGCACATCCGCATTTCCCCGGAGAAAAGTGAAAGCTCGGCGGGGAGGGATGGGGTTGGACATAAGGTTGGGGATAGTATTCACCATTTTGGAAACTTAACTTAATCCCTATCTCTTGACGATTAGCATAAAGGTATTTTCATTACATTAACCTGGTGACCAGTGTCTCCTCTCTTTGGCACACTAACAGGAAAGCGCTACCACTATGTCGTTCTGCTTTTACCTTGGGGGGGTCTCAGAAAGTACAGGGCTTTCTGTCTAGTAATTATTTTAATGGGTATTTCACCATATGTTTATGCACCTAGAGAGTAAAACCCCAACAATTAGGTCTTCCTTAAATTCATAATTATGTTAATTCAGACAGTGGGGAGAATTTTGTCTTTTTTTTTTTATTTTGAAAAAGCCACATATTACAGGCAAACGGGAAATACCCTCGTATAAAAACAAAAACCTTTAAAAATGCTCCATAATATATCTCCTTGGTTATATAAATGATTCATTTATATAATTGAGCTAATTAAAAATGAATTTTTATGATTAGGATCTGAATTTATTACCAAAGTTGTTTTTATTCTATAGTGTGTTTTTTTCCTACAGTGTGTGTGTGTTTTTTTTTAAATTCTACAATTTTATTTTTTCCATTTGTTCAGGTAGGAATTATTCCTCTCCAGAAATGAATTTTGTTTTGCTCTACAGTTCTTCCCAAGAAAGCCAGTGGTTTTTACCTTCATTAAATTGGTCTCTACTTTCTTCAACCCAGGGATAAAAATAAAGGAAGAAAAAATTTTCAACTAGGAGGCTAAGACACAGATAACACATTATTACAGCTTGTGTCTGTCACTAGTTATGCTAGAATTTAGTCTATGACTATAAGGGAAGAAACATGTTTTAGAAGTTAGTTCTAATTTGAACAATTAAATTGCAGTTACTTAGTAGTTGTTACTGTGTTAGTCTGATTCAGACACTTAGTCATACTCCAGAAAGTCTAGCTACATATAGCCCTAAGGCCTACCCCAGGCTCTGCTTTATGGAGGAGACTCAAGGAAAAACGGGATTATGTGCACAGAATGAAGCATACAGACCCCCGTTAGCAAATATTCAGGTGGTCAGTGTTACATTAGTCTAATCAAGTCTGTTCATTGCTTAACCAATATGATTGTATAATTGTCCAAAAGAAAGAAAAAAAGTCTTTGAAAATGGTGGTCTTTAGTAGCATCAAAATCCATGTTGCTTATAGTGTGACCTATGATTATTGTCTTAGTCTGCTTGGGCTGCTATAACAAAATGCCTTAGACTGGGTCCTTTATAAACAACAGAAATTTATTGCTCCCAGTTCTGGAGGCTGGAAAATCCAAGACTAAGTTACCAGCAGATTTGATGTCGGGTGAGGGCTTGCTCCCTGCTTCAAAGATGGCATCTTCTTACTGCTTCCTCACATGGTGGAAGGGGCCAACTGGCTCCTTCAAGCCTCTTTTATAAGGTCACTAATCCCATTCATGAGGGCAGAACTCTCATGTCTTTTTCCTATTTTTTTTTTTTTTCTTTTGAGACAGAGTCTCGCTCTATATTGCCCAGGCTGGAGTGCAGTGTCGCAATCTCAGTTCACTGCAACCCCCATCCCCCACAGCCCCCACCACTGCCCCTCCCTGCACCGAGTTCAAGCAATTCTCCTGCCTCAGCCTCCCTAGTAGCTGGGATTACAGGGGTGTACTACCACGCCCAGGTAATTTTTGTATTTTTGGTAGAGATGGGGTTTTGCCGTGTTGGCCAGGCTGATCTTGAACTCCAGACCTCAAGTGATCCACCCAGCTCAGCCTCCCAAAGTGCTGGGATTACAGGCGTGAGCCACCGCACCCGGTGAAGCCCTCAGGTCTTAATTGCCTCCTAAAGGCCCCACTATTTAATACTAATACATTGGGTATTAGGTCCCACCATATGGATGTTGGGGGAACACAACATTCAGACCATAGCAGTCACTTTCGTTTTAACTGTTCTCCATACCTCTTGTAACTCCTATGCTCCCTAGCCAGAGTTATTTTTTAAAATACAGGTTTAGCAAAAATCAAATGCCAATCACATGTGTGGCACTGTGGTAGCACTTTAGATATGGCAAGAAATAAGGTAGTCATGCTTCTCTGTCCTTGTTGAATGAGCAGTCTACCCAGGCAAGAAATAGGCAAATTAGTGACTGTGTGGTAAGCCCTCTAAAGTAAATAAACAGCTCTGGTAGAGAATAACAGGAAAGACCCTCTTTAGCTATTTATCTGAGATACTGTCTGAGTTAAGACCTGAGGAATGAGAAGGGGCCAGCTCAGAGCAGAGCCAGGCAGAGGGAGAAGAGTGTGTCAGGCTGAGGCAGCACACAGCTTAGCTCTGTGTGAGCAAAGAGTGGTGGGGGAGGCACCAGAGAGGTGCAGGTGCCAGCAGGCAGGGTCAGTGGTGGAAATGTGCATTTCATTCCAGATGGTTGTAGGGAGTTTGCATTTTTTGATTGCCTTGGATGGGTTTTAAATAGGGGGTGACACGATACGATTTATGTTTTAAGGTCACTTTGGTTGCTGTGACCTCTGTAAGGAGTTCACGATCTTGCCAAACTATTGCCAGAAATTTATTTCCTTCCTTTCTCACCTTCAGCTTTTCTCTTGCTGTTTCCTCTCCTTGGGCCATCACAGGAAGGGGAGTAGTGTCAGTATTGGGTCAAGAGACTGCAGGATGCAAAGATGAAATTGGGAGAAGCTCACTTGGCTTCCTAGCTTTTCTTATGGCTCACTCCCTTTGGAAGTCTGTGAGTGAAGCTCAGGTGCACCTGGCTCCTGGTCAAGGTCTGCTGCACGTTGGAGCGTGTAGATGGTTGAAGACTTGGCCAGTGCTCACTGGGGAGCAACCAGTATCTTATTGTGTACACCTCTTCCTACTGGTTGTTCTTTCCATGTGCATAATTTCCCTTTGAGCTCTTTGAGAACAGGGCCTTTCATCTCTGACTTCTAGTTTCCAGAATTTTTGGCCATCCTATATAGGCAATTCAGAATCTAATTCCAGCCTTCCTTTCATCAAGAACTGTTGACATAATTACCTTAATCTCCTTACTTCTCTCTTTTACTGATAACAGGAGGCTGACTACTGGAAATCTGTATTATATAGACCTCCCTCCATTGCTAAGATGTAATTTAGATACTTATAAATTGTATAAACACTTTTAAAGTATGCAGTTCACTGGCTAGTATGTTCACAGAGTTGTGTAACCATCACCACTGTCTAATTCCAAAACATTTTTTATCACCCCAAAGGGAAACCATTACCAATCACTCCCTATTCCTCCTACCCAGCTCCTGGAAACCACTACTCTGCATTCTGTTTCTATGAGTTTGCCTATTCTGAGCATTTCATGTAGATGGAATCATACAATCTATGACCTTTAATGTCTGGTGCAGCCCTGCTTTTAATGGGATTGCACAAATAAGAGCCCTCTGGAGAGTGTATGCTGTGCTGCACCCTCATATGTGAATAAGTCCTCCTGGTATAGTCCCTCCACTGTGGGCGCTAGTGAGCCAGGGCCCTAGTCCTGTACTTGCTCCTGTGTACAAATGGAATTGTGAGGCAAACTCTAATGACTTTATCTTCTATTTAAGGAAAGGGGAAGGTTTGCTTTCCGTCCTACCCAGCAACCTTTTTGTTTAAAATTCTATAAAAATGTCTATTACTTTTCCTCTTTTTATTTCATATTTTCCTTAAGACTCAGGCTGCCACCTTCCTGGGACTATCAGAGTTGGGCCTTAAAGATCAAACAGGTAGTCCAGTTCCTTTAGTTTTAAAATGACAATTCAGGGACAGAGAAAGGTGGAGTGTGTTTCCCAAGGTCACACAGAGGCCAGGCTTGTTCTGGAATCCTGTTACTACACAGGAATGTAAAGCACATTCAGGCATATTTTAGTGCCAATGTTAGAAAGATTAAATATGTTTAGGGGGCTGGGCATGATGACCCACATCTGTAATCTCAGCTCTTTGGGGTACTGAGGCAGAGGGATTGCTTGAGGCCAGGAGTTCAAGACGGACGAGAGTCCAGCACTATATATTTAATCTTTAACAACACTTTCGAAATCTCATACCCAATTCAGCGATGTGTCATTTTAGTTTCTGTGTGTCCTCACCAGCCCATTTTAAACTTGCTGCTGGTGTAAAGAGTTATATTGCATTTAGCTCTTTGCATGGCTCCTGAAGTCTGTGTAGTATTTTATTTAACAGATATGTATATATCTCTGTCTACGTGCTTTGCAAATATGGCTCATTTAATCCTCAGAACAACCCTATTATGTAAGTGCTATGATTATTCCCACTTTTACAGATGAGGAAACACAGAAAGAGAATTTGAATAACTTGATCAAGGTCTCACAACTAGCAGGTGATGAAACTGGTATTTAAATCCAAAGAATCTGGCTCCAAAGTTCACGCTTTTAATGATTATGTTATACTACCTCCCTTGTGGCTCTTTGAATGTCCCACAAACACAACATAACATAACATTGACCCAGTCAGTACATTACCTTTGTGCAGTGTATTTTTCCTCTCTCAAATAAGGTACTGCAATCCCAAATCATCTCTCTGCACACATAGGCATTGACTGTGTTTTGTAGACATTAGTTAGAATATGTTACTAACAATTTCTTTTTCTTATTATCTGTTACGTAGCTTTGACTTATGACAGCAGAGGCTTCCTCTGTTTTACTAGTGCAAGGCCACCTGAAAATGGCACACTGAACTGGATTTCCCATCCCATCCCCACTGGAATGCAGCGTTGCCTTTAGTTCTGTTTCAAGAGACAATGTATCTCAAGGGGAGATGTTTGGGGATGACCCCTATCGAGGTCAGATCAGAAAGGGATGACGAGCAAGGAAATTTGAAGGAAAAAAAAAAACAGTGAAAATATCTACAAG